AGTTTTTCTGTTGGCTTTCTGTCTGATGCTTTTTCTGCTCACACTTGAGAATTTTGTAGGGTTTTGTAGACTGGAATCATCTGAGGGAACTTCATGACTTGAGAAGGTACAAACTGGGGGTTTTTGCATACTCTCCATACTTTGTATCTCAAACATAGGTACCTTCTTAACCTTTTGCATCAAGTCAACACTATCAAGACTCTGCAGCTGCGCTGGATTCACCTCATATGTACTTCCAAACTCTTGGACTCCAGCAGGAGAGTGGGAATGGTGCTCCACACCACAGTCTCTATTCTTCCTGTCAAAAGCCCCCTCATGTGTCCTCTGCCCCATCTCACAGACTTCAGTCTCACTAGAACATGTTGCGACTTTTGACTGAAGAAGCTTCTTTGCATTTTGAGCACACTCTTCACCTTGAGGTCTACCAGGATTACTTTCTGCATTGTTTTTAATTGCAGGTGTTTTCTCTTTTCCTGTTCTTGCTTTTTTAACAGGCTTTTTCTCTCCAGTTTTACAGTTACCTTTGCTTTTAACCTTTACAGGAACAAACTCAGGAACTTGGCTATAGCTGGGGTCCATTTCAACACCACACTCCATTTCTTTTGTCTGTGGCTGCTCACAAAAGGTCTCTTTACCTACAGAGTTTCTATGAGAAATAACAGCAGTTTGAGCAGGTGAAGCCAGGGGGCTGGGAGATCTCAGCTGTTGCTGTGTGCTGTTCTTGCTGGAGCTGCTGTTGTCCTGTGCAGTACTACCCCAAGCTGCCTGAGTGGAACTGACACGTGGGAACATATCCAGAGCAGAAGATGGTGTGCTTGTAGCAAATGAGGTGGAACACTTTCGCCTCTGAGTAACATGCCCTTGTGAGAGACGAAAGAAATGTTTTGCCATCTCATCAGCCTCATATGAAAGAGGATGACTTTCCCAGGCAAGTGCTGGCAAATTGTTGGGATTTTGTTCAGTGGTGCACAAGACCTCTGTTGGAAAGAAAAAAGTAATGTCTAAGGCTGAGAAACGCAGCAGGCAAGTGCCATCTTTCCCCATACCACTAAAAACCTTGCTCCATACACTGCCACAGATCCAGAGCATAGAAAAAAGCATGATTTTGTCTCTATCGGGACTCCCCAAATTTTTCTGTGCACCAGATTTGCTTAGCTGGCTTCCCTCTGAACAAAAGGGAAGCCCAAAGCAAGATCTCCTAACTAGCTCTAATATTTAGAACACTTATGATCTGTATAAGAGTTATTATTTATATGGAAAATCCACAAGTAATGGCGGTGCTGATCCTAGTCAGATCCTGCACTTTCAGACATCGCCAAAAACCTCATGTAAGTTCAGTGCCTATTACTCAAAAAGCCTGATTTGCAAGCTTGATTTACTGCAAAGGTGCCACATATCCCTCTGAAGACTCTGATTCTGGGATATACATAACTCCAGCAATAACAGCCCCAGTGAAGCATGTAGTTCCTACCAGTCATTAGGAGCTACTGGAGTTCTGGTTGAGAGCTATGGCACTCATGCATTTCTGAGCACAGATACAAAGTCATACCAGAAGAACAGCAAGAGATGCAAATTTACCTCCAAAGATGCATGAGTCATGAAAAGCCTCCTCTGTTACCATTGTATCAGTCACCTTCTTGCTATTCTCTTCCTGGTGGAACTGAAGCTTCTCATTGTGCTGTGGTAGCAAAGTATCTTTGGGGGAAATAGACACAATTTTTAGGGACTCATTTGAAGCAAGTCTCTGAAGTTCTCCTGCATTAGAAGCAGGTCTCTGAAGTTCTCCTGAGGATGTCTGTATTGCTGTGGAGCTGCCAGCTTGCTGCTCTGCATCATGTAGCTTGGAAATGGGCACTCTCATGGGTATCCTGGTGAGAAGGAAGAGCAGCAATGGATCATGTTTCAAATATACACAGGCCCCAGAATCCCACATGCTAAATGAAGCAGGACTTCAAATGTACTTTAAGAGATCCTGCTCTGACCATCATTCCAGAATGCAAGCTTTCAACATACAAGCAGGTGACTATTAAGCATTTTTATGTAACAAACGTCAAAGTAGCTAGCTATGCCACTAACCAAACTCAAGCAGATCTTGCGGTACTCACCAGCTACAAAGAGAAAACTGCCTAAAAGTAATACAGTCTCAAAGAAAGGAGGTAAAAAGACCAGTTTTTGCACAGACTCAGCATTAGGACAAACAAGATAAGGAGTGGCAATAAAAGGATGGAATAAAGGAAAGCATCAAGCAGTGGTGGTTCAGAGAACCTATCCCATGTGAAACTGACAACTGGGCACACATATAAAACACAAGAAGTATAGCATATAGAAATTCAGGACAAGCTTGGCGGGATCATTTTAAAGCCCACCTCAGAAGCTGACCATCTGCAACATCATCAGCCCAGCTATCTTCAGTCATGCTGCTCTTCCGGACACTGGACAAGGATGCAGAATTTGTATGGAACTGGAAAGAAGAGAAAGAAGAGAAATAGAAGAGTGATTTAAAGTTCTTGAAATCCCTTGTGCAGCCTCCTGCACAGAAACAGCAGAAGCTCAGTTTCTCTGGGAAGTATGTAAAGTACTTTAAAAGAGTCAGCAACCCTCTCATGTTATGGAATAAATTGCAGCAGAATCAGAGTGTGTCTCCACAACCTAAGGATGAAGTTAAACTAGTTCAAATAATCTGAAGTAGGAAGCAGAAATATTTTCCCATCCACCCATAAGACAGGACATAGGGGAAGTGTCCTATTCCCTATCCCAAGTTGCCATGGCAATACTTTAAAAAAGAAATTGAAAAGAAGTCACAACCTGTCAGAGCAGAAGAGCCTACTGGCCAATACAGCAAATAATCCAGAGAAAAACAGTTTAAAGCTGTAGCTCTTCCTACAGAAAGCGTTATCCTAGAATTTCTTAACACCAAGCTGAAAACAAGGATGCAGCCAGCACAACTCAAGCAAGCAAAGAAAAACAGGTGAAACATCCAGCACTAAAGTGAGCAGGCAGCACAAAGCAAAAGACAGAGAAAAAGACCCCCTTCCCAGAGCAGTGTGCTCACATTTCCCATGGTTTACCTCAGACAGCTCGGCCATCCTAACTGCAGCCATAAGATTGTCCATTTTTTTCAAAGTATTATTCTGTGTTGAGGTAATAAAGAGAGAGAAGCCACAGACATTAAATAAAAACATCTATTCCAACAAGGATGCTAGTAGCCAGAGGCATGTTCTGGGGAGCTTGGAAACAAAAATAAGCAAATCAATGGTGACATTTTCCGTATGTCAGAAATCCAGACGTTCAACAACAACAGCTCAATCACCCCATGGCTGAGATGCTAGTGCAGCACACCTTGCCTACCACCCCTCCCTATAACAGCCACACAGTTAGTGCCATACCAGGAAGGAGAGCCTGTGCCTCAGCACAGCATTCTGGAAGTGGCACTGCTTCACCTCCTTCTGTAAGATGGTCTTCTCCTGGGTGAGCCGCTGTGCAGTGGCTTTTTCTGCATTGAGGGCCAGAGCCAATGCTTTATTGTTCTGCTTTAGGGAGACTTTCATAATGGAGGAGTTGTCTGTGAGAGACAGAGCAGTATCACATATCATCAGCATCCAAGGTCTCATCAATATCTCTCCCCTTGTCTTAGGTTGCAATGCAAGATGTAATCAAAAGTATCTATTCTATCACCTTGTATTAAAACCAGGTGGGGCAGTGTTCTTTATCTCTTCCATGACCTATCCCTCATAACTGCAGGGGGATCTCTTCTGTTAGTGGGCCATTGAGTCTCACTGCAGGACTGATAAAATTCCATCATCCCACTGGGAGATGCTCCACCCAGGGGGACAAGCCAAGCATTCCTACCTGGATATAAACTGAGCTTTGGAACATCACAGGCAGCCTTTCTCCACTGGATTCCCAAAGGACCAGACCCAACTACACCACCACTGGACCTTCAGAGGAAAACTACACCCTTTTACAGGATCACTGTTACAACAGAACCACACCTGTCACTCCAGGAGGACTGCAGCCAGCCATCATTTAATCAGACTGCTACCAACATCCTGACCAACAGGGTGTCCGGTTGTATTGTGACTCTTAGTCAGTGGTTTTTTTTGTACTACTGCATTTGTATTTTAAGTTTCCTAGTAAAAAAATGTTATTCCTATTCCCATATTTTTGCCTGAGAGCCCCTTCATTTCAAAATTATAATAATTTGGAGGTATGGGGTTACATTCTCCTTCGTTCCTTCCTAGTCTCCAGAGAAAACAGGAGGAAAAAAATTTCCATAATAACATGCAACACTTCAGACACCCTCTCCACCGTCAGTGGGTCATGCTCAGGCAGCAAGCTACTGCTCCAATTTGTAATGAGTGACAGCATGGTTCAAATGCTGAGCTTAAAAATATATTCTCCTTGCTTCAAACAAGTCACCTACAGGTAAGTCCTCATCACATCCAAAAAATGGGAGAAATACCTCTTTTCCTCTATAATTGCTCTTGAGTAGATTTGGACCCCAGGTTCCCAATTTCAAAAGAATTAAATAAAAGTAATGGAAATACCTGAGTTTTTCAAGGTAGTCCAAATTATCTCCTGTTTCATCTTTGCATTACTTCCCCCATAAAAACAAGTCTGTTGACCTAGCTTCTGCAGAGGATTGCGTACACTAAAGTACTTTCAGACACCTTAGGGCACCTTGAGTGACACGACACTGATCTGCAGGGCACAGAATTCACTCGAAGCCCTCAGGCAGAGAAGCAGTTGAGAAGCAGCACACGAAGGACTGCTGCCCACTCCCGATGCCACGGCCAAAGGCCCAGTGAGAAGCTGACACAGCCACCATATGTACACACCGCATCGCAAAATACACTTACTGATGATCTTCGTTTTAATTTTTGATGCAAGCGAGGCGTTCAGCTTCGCAGTCCTCAAGGCACCCTTTTTCTTCTCCCGCATCCGCTCTCTCACGCCGCTCAGACTGAAGGAGGACATTTCGGCGGACTCCCACTCTGCCATCGCTGAAGAGAGCGACACCGAGCAGGGTCAGCACTCGTATTTCCCTTCCGCAAGCCCTTACCGGCCAAGGCTCGTAGTTGCCCCGAGAAGCGGCTCCGCGGCTCGTCACAGGCCCGCCCTGACCCCCGGCGGAGCACGGAGAAGAAGACGAGGAGGAAGAGGCGGAGGGGGAAGAGGAAGCCCTGCCCGCCGAGCGACTTTCGAATGTCGCGGCCGGCGGGCGACCGCCCCTCAGGAGCGGCCCCTCCCCTGCGCTCCGCCGGCGCCGGAGGAGCTCCCCCGCCCTCAGCGGCCGCCGCCCCCGCGGCCTTCGGGCTGGAAGGCCGAACGCTGAGGCGCTGCTGCTGCCGCCCGCCCCGGCCCGCGGAGCTAAACCGCTCCTGCAATGCCTCAGGAAAGGCCGAGGGTTCTTCTGAAGGACATACGTCACCCAAACATTAGGGTTTGTAGTTTTCAGCGGTGAAACTTAACATTTCAGTTAAATGTGACCATTAAAAGGAATTACTTTTCTTTTTACGCACTGTACACTTCAGTCCAAGTTAATGCACTGTTTTCCAGACACCCTTGAATTTGCCCTCAAGAAGCTGGCATTATGTGTGCTGGTGTGATGATGTTAAATATTTTAAGGAAGTAACACATACAGGAAAAGCAGCCAAATATTTTGAAAATTAATTTACAGTGGAGGTACTAAGGGAATAAAGCTGCTGAAAATGTGTCTGTTTTCCCAAAATGGGTTCTTCTACCTGGTGTACAAGAAGCCTATCTCCACAAAGAGGTATTTGATTTTCCTACAATTCTGCACAGAAAGGAGTGTTGGGTGTCAAATCCACTAGGCTGGCACAGTGACTATCAAAAACTATAGCTATTCATACATTTTAGTAAGCAAGGACATTAATATTCATCAGCTACAAGTTACATAGTTCTCTGATTAATTAGTATTCTATCTACTACAAATATAAAGTCTATGTGCTCAGTCTCTCCTCTTTTGAGTTGGTGAATTTCATGAGCTGGTGGTTGCAATCTCCCCTTGGCAGAATTACCTTCTACCTACTTGGGGCTGACTTCAGCACAGTTACTGAGTTGGTTTTGTTAGCTTCTTCCTTATCCTGGGAGTTCTGCCAAATGTCCTTGTGGCTTGTAAATTCTGCATTCTTTGTTTCCACTATCACTAGTACATCCTTCACCCAAACTCTGTAAACGTCCCTCTGGAGCTGAGATGATTGAAACATTTCAAGCTCTAAACCTCAGAAAGGCAAATCCACTGACAAGTAATTTATCTTTCTAACACTTGAACATCATACCTTCTGCCACAGACAAAGGTAGCCCTTTGCAAGAGTCCTAAACCCTACTCCTATTTTATGAGGTATTTGTTAATACATTAGCAGATGAGCATTAGATAATGGCAATTATTAAATATATTTATTCATTCCAGCCTAATTAAGTAGCAGATCAACAAAACCCTCTATACCTATTCTGAAAATCAGGCACACAATGGTTAACAGTTCTGCAGGCACACAGACCTACCTGTAGCTTTACCTCTTGCTCTAGGGAAACATTAAATTAAATGCCATTAAATGCTAGGGCTATGGGTGTGGGAAAAACATTTAATTATCCTCTAAGACATTGTTGTATGTTCCATGCATGACAAATTCCAGTTTGGGGGCCTAAATTTTCTCTACTAAATTTATTGAGCATACCTGTCAGCAAATTAAATTAACAATTGGCTTCTTAATACCAGAGACCCTTTCCCACACAGCTTTATTGAAACAGCGAAAATCTTTGCCAGGAGACATTGCAGATGTCATTACTCAAAATTTCAATATTACTGATTCTGAAAGCGATTGGACATGTGTAGAAGTTAAAATTAGCAAGAGATATTAACTGCCAAGGCAACACTTTTTGCTCAAGAAGGTCCTGAATTGGAGAACAGAGGAATACACTGAGAAAGTTTGATGCCTGCTGGCACAGTTCCTCTGTCTCTTCCCTGGGCATCTACTAGTGAATTTTACTTATTTTTACCAGGGAAAACACAGTGGCCTCACCCACCTTGCAATGATATGGGAGCATTTCTTGCTTTGGGGAGAATGGCAGGGATCAGCTCACCCAAGGACTAGGGACCAGACTCATTTCAGGAAAGTCCCTTTCTTCATCAGGGTATCACTTCTGCCACAACAGGAGAGGGGTTGGATTAGCAGGACTTCAGGTCAGTCCTGGCATGGCTGTGTTCACTTTATGAAGGTCATTTTTCCCTCTCACCTGGCCATAGCAGCAGATAAGCCCTGGGGGTGTAACTGGTGTTATGCCCGGCAGGCAGTAGATCTGTGTTTCTCAGAGCAAACAAGCAGCAGCTCTATTTTTGACATATTTTCCATGATGCCTGTATGGAGTATGCCCTCAGAAATCAAATCCAACTTAATTACAAGCTCCTTTTTTTTTTTTTTTTTTTTAATCTCAGGCATGCTAAGCTGAAATATTAACGACAGACTGACACCCAGTGCCCAGAAAGTGTTAGAGCTCATTTCAGTTCAGTTACATGCACCAGAATAGCCTTGGCTGTAACCTCTCTTAGCTGAATTCTTCCACATCAACAACTAGAAATGTCACTAGTTGTGATGTAGGGACATTTCACAACATGTTATTTAGAACGAGGGATCTTCCTCTCTGCTCGTGGGATAGGTGGGTGGATCAACTGTCCCTCCTTTTGCTGTGAATGTTACACTGTATATTTTTACAGCCTTGCTTCTTATGGACAGGAATACTTTTCTTGATGAATTTCCATCCCGAGATATTTTTAGAAATCTCTGTTTTGAGTGCTTACCATACAGTGCAGAGGAGCAATGTTTTCTTGAAAGGTTTCCAGCTAGCTACTCATGCTGTTTCCTGTGGTGGGATGCTTGAGTTTGCATTTGGGTTTTGGTGGGTTTTTTTCCTTTGGGAGAAGGAGAGGTGGGGCTCTTTAAGCTTCAATTTATATTCTGATGTTATGCAAGCAGAGACAAAGAAAGAACAGAAATATTATTTCTGCTCAGCTCATATTACTGTCCACTTGCCTAGACCTTGCCCCTTGTGGACTCAGATACTTCCTTAATGATCACAAGGTAGGAAAGGTACAAAATTTTCTGAAGAAGAAGAAAAGCTAATGTTATCAGACTCTTCAGTTTCTGTTTCAGCCAACAATGCTGCTTCGTTTGAATCATGGGCTAAAGATCATTCACACTCTATGAGGAAGGAATTTAAATGCTTTGATCAGCTGGGAAACTAAGGATACTTTATCTTGCAAAGTCCTAATTAGTTTAAGAGGTTAAATCTACTGTTTTAAATTAACAGTAACTCCTGGAACTCAGCTTATGCTTCTTTAAGAGTCCTAGACTCAAAGAGCTGGAATCTGGCCCATCTGAAAATTCAGTCTCTGTGGATTTTTTTCCCCACGGAAGTAAACTGTTATCCCTCATCAGTTTAGAAGCCTTGGCTTAAATCTTCTTGAAAACCATGTACTAGCTTTATTAAGATATATAGATACTCAGGGAGCCCAAGTCTTAAGGCAGTTCAGATGGATACTACAAATTGTGCTCATTTATCCACCAGGACTGCCAAAGCACTTAGCTCCTGCTGACCAGAAGAGTGTGCCCATTGTCTTATCATGTAGTTTCTGCAGGTATACAAGTCTGTGAGTTGCTGTCCTTTCAGGACCACTGGATTCAATCTTTCAAGATCTCCCTGCATCCATCTGCCATGCTGACTGCCCCCGAAGCTGCAGAGCAATCCAGGAAGCAAAGTGAGCACATTTCACCTCAATTCCTACAAAGCCAGGGCAAGGGAAGGACCTGGCCCAACAGAGCCACCAAGTTACAGCCCACTGAGCTCCAATAGCTGCACATGGAATGGAGGGTGTAAACCTTGGGCTGTGTCTATTCTCTTGGGGGGAGGGTGGGGGAGGATGCAGAGGTGTTTTGTCACTGTAAACTAAAAATGGCATCTAGCTCAGGCTCCTGAAATTCATGACAATTGCAAAAGGTGCATTTTCCTCAAGTAGAGGTAAACAAGATGACATGTTTCCAGAAAATCAGCCTTCATGTCTGTCAGTTATTTGCCTGCTTTTAAGTTTGGACTAATACTAGAAGTTTCACAAAGGTCAGTTATGCTACTGGCCAGTGAGAGCCACCTGCAGCTTGCCTGTTTATTTTCCAAGTGCAGCAAAAATGAGAGTAACTTTGGGAGTTACTCTTACCTCCAGCCATGTATTGCAAGTAGGCCCATGCAGTAGGTCTGAAAAAAAACAACCTAGTGGCACTCTGTAAGCCCGAGATGATACGAGGCTCTCTCTCTCTCCCCCGCAAGGCATCAAGTACCAGACACCAACCGCACATCAAAAACAAGGCCTTCATTTAGCAAGGAGAGCTAAAAAGGACCTCAAGCAACTGGACACACTGTCCAGAGGAAAGCACAGGGTGACAAAGTAGGTCTGGAGAATTCACACAAGACAGTAGAAGTTTTTGCAACGCAACACCGAATGTCTCAGTTGTGTCTATCCTTCTCAGCTCTCTTTAGCATGAGATGTTTCATAGTTAACACTGAAGTGTTAATTCTACATTGGATTTAATGAAATCGGCAGAAGGTGTCACTCGTGAGCTAGAAAGTCAGCTCTGGTAATACATTGAAAGCATCTTCTGCTAATATCCCTGAAAAAAAACCCCAAAAACAAAAACCCAAAACATTTACTACCATCACTTTTAGGTTAAAAGAAAAGAAAGCCTATTTTTAAAGAAATTTTTAAAAAACTGACTCCATAAAGAACCAGTAATGTCAGATAAGCCTAGCATGCTCATGAAATAGGTTCTGCCTTTATATTTGTCCATGATTTGCTAAAGCCTTTTGTTTAACACTGCTCCACTAAGCAACAGAGCTAAGAAAACATTTCAGCAGCAGTGCTGGATTTGCACTGCATTTGAACTAGAGTAAGGGGGCTCCCCCACAGCCCTGAGTTCAACATGCATCACAGGTCACACAGCAGGAGGGAAGCTGATATGCCCTGCAGTCCCCATCCCTCCTGATGGATTCAGCCCTGCCTGCTGTGTTTGCACTTATTAACATGTGTATCCTGCAGGGAGCTACAGAAGCAAAACAAGGAATCTCTCCAAGGAAGCCTGGAACAAATTCAAAAGTGAGGAAAGCAAATGAATCAAAGACATAACAAAGACCTAGACTTCATGTACCTAACTTAGTTGTAGGTGAGCTGATATCTTCTACTTTAGCTTTGGTAATATATTTGCAACTTGTGTTTTAGTTGGGTTTGTATTTGTTTAAATCTTCACAGCCATTCTCTCCTTTCCACCCTCATATCTTGTACCTAAGACATCCATTCCCCTTCCATTAGTCACTTCTCTCCTGCTTCCTCCTGCCACTGTGTTGGGAACTTACATTCTCCCAGTGCATCCCTTCTGCTCCTCAATGCACTATGCTACTTTCACAGAGACAATGAGCAGATGCAGCACTTCAGAGGCAGGGAGTACACACTTTCCCTTTTCCACAGTGCTTTGTAACTCCCAGACACGATCCAGCATTGGGCTGTGCCTCTCAGCTTTCCCCTTTAACCATCCTGCTGTTTTATTTTGGCAAAACTGAAGAAAAAGCATCTCCCTGCAGTGCCAAGTAGCATTGAAGTCTATCTTCCAATTCCTATTTATATGTCTCTAATGTTTGCCTCTTATGTCCTCTTATGCAATGCTGCGTTACAACACTCCCCATTCCCTAGATGGGCTGTCACTAATCACAGCTCAATACATTCACAAATTACAAATTACCTGATAAGTCTGCACTGAAACAAATTCAGTAGAACTATAGACTGCAGCCAGTGACAGGACCCAAGCAAACTTCATCCCAGCTCAAACAGCATCAGTCTGACCCCTTTAAAGCCAAACCAGAGAGAAATTGTACTTTGAAATGAGGTCATTACAAGAGGGGAGGAGGGGATATTGCTGCTGACCCCATGAGAGAACAATGGTGAGAGGGTGGTTAAGATTAAACAGCTAGAGAGATTAACATCTCATGACTGTTTTTTGTTCACTGACCTGTAATAAAATAAGCGGTAAGACTAACAAATAGCTGATTTTTTTTTTTTTTTTTTTTTTTTTTTTACAGTGCTGTCTTTGCTGTTAGACTACTGCCAGGGTCTTTGCTTTTCTTTGGCTAATACTTTGTGGCTTTATAAATAAGACTGGTGAAGTTAAGAGGAGTAAGCAACAGAAATTTCATTATGGTATGTTATGCTTATTATATTATTGCTTACTTACTAATGCTAATAAGCATAAACCCAGTGTTTTATTTTCAAAGTGCAAGTACCTGCCCTTTTTCTACTCTCTCCCCTGTTGGCTGGCTGTGCTAATTGTCTGCACACAAAAATGAAGCCCAGCACATCATATGGTTTGCTGCTCACATGTTCAGACAGACAGAACTAGAGAGCTGAAAGGTGCTTGTTGTGTGCACCACAGGATTGGTGAATCATAACCTTCTGCTGCCTTGACTGGATATTCCTCCTTTCCTGAGCTATATTGTATCCAGAATGAAAAAAATAGCTCTTTCAGTGACTAAATAAATTAGTCAGAACAATTTCAAACTCTTTCTTCAGCTATGAAGAAAGCAATGGACAGAATTCACAGCTCAGATGCAATACAGAATCATGATCATTTTCTATGACCCAGAAGAGCCCTCTAATCATATGTGCACTGTATGCAGACATTTGTTGTCTAGCATTGCACTGCAATATTACCCATAGTGGGAAAAGTAAGAGGCCATTCTGGATCTGTTCTTCCTAAGCACCTGAAATCATGGAAAAGGGGCAAGTAGGTAATTGAACAGGGCATTATCCACTTTTCCTTTGGTAATTTAAGAGAAAAATTGTACCCCAGAGACTGACTCCAGCTGTAGAACTCATGGTGGCAACTTTCTGCTGCAATTCATAGCCCAATTTATGACACTGAAATCAGATGGTTTCAGCTAACATGCTTGACTGGACAACACAGCAGCTGAGGCACAGACATATTGCCTGCTGCACCAGAAATTCTAACTTCTTAAATTGCTCCACACAAGTTTGTGAGTCAGAGTCGTTACACCACAGCCAGAGTTACTAGAACACTGCCCATGCAAGCAAGCACAAATTTCTCCCTCATTTCTGCTACAGTAATCTTAAGGCAAGTCACTACTGATTCTCTAGCTAGTCTGAAAATTCTCACTCATTATGGTGAAGAGATTTTTCCTAGCCAAATGTCATGTGGAAACATCTAGCATCTATCATGGAAAAGCAAAATAAGTTTTCTTCCTCAAACTGGTTTATCTGTTGGACAAAAATATAACCAATCTGTTCTGAAAAGCATCAATTTTGTCAGGTTGGAAAGTAATGTAAGTCCACAGGACTATATTTCTTCAAGCTGGCAGCAACAGCAATTACCAAAGCCATGTGAAAATCAGTTTTACTCCATCTCTCTAAAACACTGTTAAAGATGCTGGCTTCACAAGAAGAGTCATGGTTGAAAGAGTGCTTAGAGGTCCTCAAACAAAAACTAGCCCAGACAGGCTGTTATGGATGTGATCTGCCAGGTACTTCCACACAGGTACTTCCACTGCCAGTGCTAAACATATCATCCATTTAAGTGAAGTAAGTGTGTGGTGTGGTTCCCAAAGGCATCCAGGGCTAGATTTCATGGCCTTTCATAGGGACTTGCCAGCAGACAAATGTCAAGTCCTGAACAGCATACTTACAGTAACAGTAGCAATACAGCAAATCAAATACAACAGGCAAGCAAACATCATGACAAGGAAATCCAGCAGGATGAAGGCAGGTGGTCTGAGATAACACAGTCTGGGACAAAAGGGCTGAATATACTAAAGAGGACAGAAGGGTATCTAACCTGTTTGGAAATGGTGAGTACACATTAGCCCCTGTCATGTAACATGGATACAGTTAAAAAAAATCAGAGAAATGGTTTGTGATGGAAGGCTGTGATGTGAAGATGAACATTTCATATTTTCCCCATCCATTTGCGCAGAAGACACTCTTGTCTTTCCTTTCTTACTACAGCACTGAAAGCCCTTTTCTTTGGCCTGAAATGTAAGCAAATCTGCGCTCCACTAAGTCTCCCAAACTGTGCCCTGCCCTCCCTCCTTATAGCCACAAACACTCCTTTGTTCCATTGGAGGTAGAGGCTGTGTAGTTGAAAATAGAGTTATTTTAAGTAAATTAGATCTACAAAGGTGTTCACCTGTGTGCCAGGTTACTCATGGATCATGTTGACAAGGTCTTCACATGCTTGAATGAGTTCCCCCAGATACATAAGATTATAAATCTAGTTTTGAAGTGCAGTGGCTTGTTTTGATCTGAAGCCTTATCTACTGGTGATATGTCACCTTTATAACCAGCTTTGCCTAGCCCATGAAGCTGTTGTTTTTTCAGAGTCTAAGATTTAGGTGCAAGAAAATGATAACTGAAACAGAACAAGTCAAGGTTTGTTACAACCCTGTGCCAAACAGGAAAAAAAAAACAGAGGGAATGTTTCAAAATGGAGGAATAGTTTTCTCTAGCCTAGTGCTTTAGTGTGAAAGCACTCTGCTTTTGCATTAACAGCAATCCTTCTGAGTTCCAGATAGAGAGCAACTTGAGTTTAATGCTCTTTTTTCCCTCTGAATTTTTAAAACAGACTTCCAAAGGGAAAAAAATGAACCAAATGACCCAAACTGATTTACAACATTATTCAGTAATTCAGATACATTGGTAAACATCTAGTAAGAACCATTTGATTTCAATCTTTATAGTCTTCTGGGATGCTGCAATTAATCACACACCAGGAAGAGACTGAAATATTTAATCACTACTTCTTCCTCACACGTCTGTGTTAAAATCTGTAAACAATAGAAAGGATTAGAAGGCAAAAGCTAATAACACCAAGTGAGTTGGAGACTTTTCCTGTCTCCAGGATAAAGCATGTGACAAAGTATTGAAATTGAAACAAAGTTTATCTGCTGTCACAAAAGGAAAGTTTGCCATGGGATGAACTTGGACAAGTAGTAATCCAGGTAAAGTAAAGGTGGGGAAGGAGAGGAGCAGACCTGCACCAGAAGCTGTTCAGGTCTGCTGAGTTAGAGAGCTTTCAGGCAATAGAGGTTCTATAAAGAACCATTTCTATATACTCATACGCATGCTTGTACCTATCTCACATTGGGCAGATGGACCACATAAAACAGTCAACAGCAGCTCAAAGTGTAGTCTAGTTACATGGTAACTCAACTTGCACACAGCATCAGCAAATGCAGTGTAAAACACAGAAAAAAACAAGAGTCCCCCATAGGAAATGCAATAAACATTGTAACTACAATAAAGACAAAACATGAGAAATCCCCACAGCTTAGAAGGTCTGTTTTGTGTTGCATTTTGCAGATGGGGCATTTTGACTCTGGTATATAAAAGCAAACACAGTGTCTGCTAACAGCTCTCAACTTTCATCTCAGCAGATTTTCAGAAGTGGGAAAGAGAAGTGGAAACCCCAGTATGCCCGTGCCTTGCTCTGACACAGACAAGAGGGTGGACTATGAGTCTTGCAAATGTGTATATTGCAGATCATGTTTTTTTATGAAGATAAGAGCTTCTGGCCCGCTGCCATGAATGTTGCAGTGACCACTTTGACCTGCAGCCCCTCTGTGAAACAACGCAATTCCTTTAAGGCAAAAAAAAGGCTGCTAGTGTATTTATGAGAGCCCAGTTACTCAGAACACCATTGCCTTTTAAAAAGGAAGAATGATCCTGACTTCCAGAAGTGATTCACTCTCTGCAATTCCATCAGGTCTTGCCATGTAATATTACAAGTGAATTCTGCTAAGCAGCACATCACAGTTTAAGAAAGTGGGTACCGTTTATCCTTTAAGGTTATAGTTACACAGTCTCTCCAAGCAACTTGAGAGACAGGCAAAGTTCAGTAAGGTGATGCAAAGTTTCACTAAATATGAAGGAAACAATCTGTTTAGTATCAGTTTAAAGCTATTTCCAGGACCTTTTCAAAACTTGAAGATACTAAAAGAAAGTGGAGTGAGTGTTTCTAGGTTAAGAATATCTTTACATCACCCAGGGAGCAGCTGGCAGGGCTAGCTGATATAAACTTCTGCTGTGGACTGATGTATGCAACTTTCTTATGACCATACTGTGTTATTATACAATGATACTTGAACATATTAAATCAGATTTGCAATGGGTACTGTTTTCCTAACATAAAAACTGTGTTGGTTAAAGTCAGGCAAAGGATTAATACTCGCCAAGGTACTTCTCTTATTATTTAGATATCCTTTCAGTATAAGCCATAGCAGCAGGAACACTCCACATCCCCACACTCACAAGCAGTTTCCCACATGGCATGTGTCCCATGCACACCGTGGGAGCATATGGAGTGACATGTTAAATGTCTTTTAGTAGCATAATTCTAAAAAAGGCCACATTATTCAGTCCTGGTCATGAGTAAGTGCCATACATCATCCTCAAATTGTATTAATACATTTGCTCCTATTGTCGTGATACAGAGTCCTTATAAATCACATTTCTTCAAGCCATAAAGCATCTTATATTTACTTGCTAACATGTGTGTGATCATACCCATTTGTTGGCACACCTGAGCTCTCTCCCTATGGGTAAGGATTAAACCTTTTCTGTCATTCTCAAAAGAGTGAATCTTTTTGCAATCCCATCTCCAGAACAGAATGCGATTTCTCAGAAATACACGTAGAAGCTGGCAATGCTCCTTTTCCTGTATTGTTTGATGATGTCAAAATCAGTTAAACTTCTGTTTTTTCTGTATTTTTGCTATTTTCCACTGAAGATTCTGTTTCCCATAATATTCAGCTCTATAAAAAAGAAAAGCCCCAAGGTCAAATGTTGAGTCTTACTGATATTTGTCCCAGGCTATGCCTATATCCCAGAGATCTGCTCCCTCAGTGCCTGAGGTGGCTCTTGGATATTGTACGAAATGTCTAAATTCAGGGCAGACTGTAATTATTGAAACCAAGGGAATAGAGAAGAATTCTTGACTGTAGTACAGTAAATGCCAAAAATTGTCTCTTTGCAGAGACTGTCTGATTCACACTGAATCATTGCTCTCATACTAAATAAACAGTGAATGCATTCTAAAATCCTGGTTCAAACAAATCTTTCTTCAGTACTACAAACTAATTAAAGTTGTGCAGTCCAGAGGGAAATCTGATTTCTTTCATGTTTTCAGGGGAGAGGAGGAATAGGTTTAAAATATATTCACAATCAGCCAGTGGTTCATGATAAATTAAGGCATGATAAGGTAAATAAGTGTTAAAGGTCCAACTGCATATTGCTGGTAAGTGTCCACTTACCATATCCTGGTAAGTGAAGGGAAAGGTCTGATTCTTTCATCTAAGTTCTCTATTTTCAGAAGTTTTCAATCTAGGAATAGATCCCAGCTCTATACTTAGCAGGGATACTACTGTTTTTCAGCAAAATTCTGGAGACTTTTGTAAAGAGAAAGCAGTACAGAGAGAACAGAGCAGCTAGGACACTCTGCAACCTTATCTAGTATATGTTTAATTTTAAATCACTTCTTGGCTTGAAATGGTAGGCTTTGATTTTGTTTTGCCTAGCAAACATTCTGATAATGGAGTCCTTGAATAAAACCAAGCAACTTTTACAGTAGTGAGGTAGACTGCTTAAAACTCACATCTCTCCTTGCTTGTCAGAGACCTCATTTAGCCATTATTTCACACTCACATGACCCATCAGTAACAGTCTGTTAGTGATCCTCACCAGCCTTTCCCTGACAACATTGGAGAGGAAAACAGAAGCATTTTTTGCCCTTCTTGTCCTTTCTTTTTTACATGGGACACTATCTCTGCCCTCCTGCCTCTCCTTCACTGCATGAAGTAGGCTGTTCAGCTACTGGAAATGTTTGGTGTACATGAAAACACCATGCTTCAGCCAGAGGGAAATGGAGCATGAACAATTTGGTTTTCAGGGCAGAGGTGTGAAAAAGCATGTTTCCTCTTGTTCACAAACAGCTAATATTGTGCATTTATGGGAACTGCACAGTGTGAGGAATATGTGTTAGCATGCTTAGCTAACCCAGATTTGCAAAATAGCACAGCAGTTAAGAGTACAGTATCTGCTTGTCTGCCTAGAACAGGAAATCAAACTATTTCATTTGTTTTCAGCAGGAATAAAATAAAGAAATGACCAGTTTCCCAGACAGCAATTAACATATGCCTACTTTCTGCAACAAAGTATGTGGTTCAATTAGTGCAACTGAGAACCTCTGTAGTGATGTGTAGATTACATGCTGGCATTCCTCTGGCAAAAGGCAAGAACCAACAGAAACAACTGTTCAGAGATCAGGGTGATAGGTAGGGTGTCTAGATTCTAGATTCTGCTGCATCCTAGAGCTTAGGAGTGGTAAAGTTTTCTGCTGGAGACAGGGATGGTGGAAATGCCTGGTTTTTAAGGACCACTGAGAGGCTGTACTTGCTTTGGTTTGCAAATGTTCAGAGAACCTCAAGATGTTAAGAACAATGGTGCTAAACTGGAAATTCACAGAGCATCCAAGTTTTCACTAACAAGTAGTTTAGGCTTCTGCAGCTTGCTTTAAGTTTGGTAGCAGGTACTACAGCTGCTGGCATGCAGGCTTATTTCTCTACAAAAACACCGCTTTTTTCAGATTACTCCTATGCTCAAGTTTTTCTGAGGTGCGAAAGCAGTCAATCTCCATGTAAAAGCAGCTGTCATAACAGCATACTTGCTGAGGGCAGCTGCAACAGGTGGAAATAACCATACTCCTCAGACCACGGATAACGTTTGTCTAACAAGATATTTTGGCTCCAGAGTTTAAGATCAACCCACAGCCCTTCCTGCAGTGCTCAGTTCATCTGTGGCACAGACTCCTAGGAACAGGATCCAAAGAGAAGTTGGATCAGTACTTGAAAGACAAATTCACTGAGAGTTTTTAAAAAGAGAGAAGAAACCTCCTGCTCAGAAAACCTCATCAGCTAAAAAAGCTTGAGGTCGTGAAATTTGAATGAAATGTCATATATATTTGCTTCACATCTACCCTTCCTTCATGCCTACTCCTGGAAGTTACTTGGCTGGATGGCCCATCTAACCTGTGATGGCTGCTCATTTGTTCCAATAACAAATTTACATAGGCCTGCTCTGCTCAAGTTCAAGGTCTCTCAAGATCAAAATGTGAAAACCAAAGTTCATTCTCTAGAATTTTTGAAAGTTTAATGAGGGAATAAAAAGGGACAATGTCCAGCTCTGGGGTGTTTCTGGCTATTGGCCAAAGAACACACAGGTGGATAAGACAGTGTTATCAACGTACTGTTATGTTACTAAGGTACATGCATATTCATGTGTTTCATAATTATTCAAACATTCTTGTGAGCTTTTTGATGTTTCAGGAACTCTTTTGTTTGGTTTTACACTCTGATTTATTTGCATGACATCCTATGAGTTAGGTCAATATATTTTATTTCTTCTTGTTTTCCATCCTGTTGTTTCACACTCCCTGATAAGGAGTTGACAAGTTCTTCTCCAATTCTTCTCCAGTGCTCTGGTTTGTATCACTGTTATCTTATCACTTGGAAATATAATATATTCATCACATTACTATTTCTATAAGCTATAAGGTGCAAAACTACTAGATTGTGTTATAATACTAAGCAGCTAAAAGGAGTTAAAAACTGTACCATATTCAAATACTTATGATCAATAACAACATCTAAAAGCTATTAAATAAATGCAAAAGCCAATATTATATTGTCATTTTTAACAGAAACTTCTTTACCAAGTCCAGTGCCAACTGTATTCATCTGTGAAAGACCTTGTGGCATCCAAAAGACAAACCTGCTCCACAAAGCAAGCATGATCACAGACAGAACAAAAAAAAGTGTAACACTTCTGAGCCTGACAAAGATCTTCGAGAAATACAAGCACAGGCCTGCACATAGAAGTTGTTACTGCAAGTGAATTCAATTTGCTTAGCATTAACCATGAGGAAAAAGTTATTTTTGATACAAAGAAGGCATACAGGTGTCCAGAAACAAATGCTAGACTCAAAACACACTCTTCCCTCAGTCTGTGTTCAGTGTTAAAGGGTACAATTTCCTGGCTGAGGAAGCACCTCCAAGAGAGAGGCTGACAATAGTGATACCGTTTACAACAGCCATCAGAATCACAACTAGAGCTGTGTAAAAACAGGAGAGCCAAAGATTTGTCCCTGAAGTTTTGCAGTTTCTTGAAATCACTATACAAGACTCATAGTGAGACACATGCAACAAAGCCCAAAACAAGTAGCATTTTGGTTGAAAAAGAAACCAGTGCAGGAAAAGACCCAAAATTCCTTCATGCAGTATGAGCAAGAAACATGAAAATGCACTGCACATGAATAAAATTTGTGAAATTTAGTTCAAAGGTGGGTGTGGAAGGAGAGAAAAGGAAGGCAAGTATGAGAGAAAAGGTGTCACAGTTACATCCTAGCAAAAACAGCACAGATAAGAACAGCTGAGTGAATGGACCAAACAGCCTAGCATGGGTATAGTTTCTTGTAGGCAAGTAGACTTGCAAACATTATTAATTGGTCTACCAACAAAAGATGCAGAGGGGAAGCCTTCTTTTATTATCCATCTCTGATAAATTTGCTAAAGAAAGCCTATAGCGTACTTGACAGATTTCAAATACTAAAGCAGTTACAATAAAAAATTCTTTGTGTTTTTTGTCTGGCTACTTTCCCTTTCAGTTTTTCAACTGCTGAAAGAGACCTAAAGTTTATATTATCTTAGATTTTTTAAGAAAATAAGGTTGAAATAACCTAGATCAAACAAATGTAAGGAATATTGCCAAACAATTCTGCTGAATTTAATATTTCTAACTTGATTTTATTTTTTCTAAGATATGGCAGTCCAGCAGACCTAAAGTGCTCAGTGGGCCAGCTTGGGTTGGACAGAACAATCTTGGTTTTTTTCCAGCATCATTAAGAGATGTGAAAGCTTCGGCACAAATAAGATATAGTGGAATTATTCCTTCCTTTGTCTCACTTCTACATTACAGAAGATTTCTAGGAACCCAGGACTGGCAGCAGGAGATGGGCACAAAGTTGAATGAATGTGTGATAAACAGAAGTGACCCACAGAGTTATCAAAGAGTAAATGGGGTTTCACTTTCTCCAAATGCTCCCCAAACCCTGTTAAAAGGCTGCTAACAGGATATTTTCATTATGAAATAATGCTAACAGTTGCTCCCCACTTTCAGAGATCCAAAGGGACATCCACCATTCTCTACTACTAGAGAAAGGAAGACAGCAATAACAGTTTATCTAGAGCACATCCTATAGAAAATGGATATAAGAGCTTTCCTAGTCTTAGGGCTCAGTAGAAGTGTCCCTATGGTCCCTTGTAGTCTTTGGATTGCTTTGTACAACCCAGGCAAAACCCAGTCAGCTTTCAAATACTTTCCAGTGTGATTTGCAGCACTTTTGTTTTGTTGCAGATATCTTTCTTTGAGGGCTGCTCCTGTGACACCACCACAGACCCATCAGATCTGCATGCCTTCCTCAACTGCTGATAAAGTGGAAAGCAGCTGAATGATCTATGAATGTACTAACTACACAGACCATCAATACTTCCTGAAATTGGAATCTCTCTTGACTGCCAGCACTGGGTGAGCTTCAATTTGTTTTTTGTTAAAAAACAAAACAAAACAAAACAAAATAAAAACCAAAACAAAACAAAAATAGAAAACAAAATAAAACCACAGAACAAAACAAAAACACAAAACAAAACAAAACCACAAAAAAAACCCACCACAAAACAAACAAACAAACAAAATACCAAAAAATTAAAAAAGCTTTCAGACCTTAGGGGGAAAAAAAATCTTAATTTATGATTATGAAAATCCCAAGCTCCATCTGTAATTGAGCCCATGGGCTAACTCCATGCTTGAATTGACTAAAGGGTGTACCTTCCATCTTGAGTTGACCCATAAAACCAATGGCCTTCACAGAATTATTTCTTCTGTGAGTACACTGGCAAGCTGGCAGCAAACACTATCATCAGGGAAATACTGCATACCAAGCCTCCAGCTGGGACACTGGATGGCTTAAGACAGAGTGAAGTATTTACACTATTTACCAAACTTGTTAATAAAAATGATTTCTAGCAATGACTATTTGAAATGCTAAAATACCAGAATGAATCTTTCAGCTGCTTTTTCACTTCATGATTAAGAAATACCCAACAAACAAACAGTCCTGGTCAGCAGCCCAATAGTTCCTGCTACCATTTGGCGTTAAATCCAGATTTCTGCACAGGATTTAATTGCTTCTACTTCCAGCTCAAGACCTACACTGTGCTCTTTTGTTCAGCCAGGACCTCACACCATTTGGAGGAATGAACTCATGTTGACCCTCCACAGCCCAGAAGTAGCAGCTTTCCCTAGGGCCTGGGGTTAGGAACCAAAAGAGAGACTCATTATATTAAAGATTCTACAACCAGTTCAATGTGCAAGTGGGCCCCCACAAGTCTCTCATATACTCTTAACAGTGCAATGTTTACACTACACTGCAAAATCTTTAAAACTCCATTTCAAGTTTTACAACAGTAGCCATCATTCAGGTCTCTGTACCCCTTCTGTGCTCAGGAGTCAGGCTAGCCAGGTCCCTGGGGTATTCACAAGGGCACACCATTGGTTTCACATCCCGCTCAGAAGCAGGCAGTGTGTTTGCAGTCAACATCTAGCTTTTGGGAGACTGTGGTACTGATATTTTGCAGTATCCCCACCTCTGGTCAAAGTTAGAGCTTTCCTAAGCCCATTTTCCCTTAGTTACTTAGCTTCATTTGCCTTCTTCTCCAAACCATGAGAAGTTAGGCTCCAAGTTGCTATAACAGACACCCTTGAGACAACATTACCCTGCTCACCTAAGAGGGAATTAAATTCAAACAGGTCAACAGAGACTACTAACCCCTAGACATCCTTCAGTCTTGGTTGTTGCTATGTTGTTTTCTTCCTGACACACTGATTGCTTCCAGGAATCATGCTGCAGATCCATACTGCTGAGCACTGCAACATAATGAAATCATTCATTAAATATCCTCTTAACTAAAGCAGAATGATTTGAACTGCAGGTAGTGATCCCTGGCACTAAGATTGTACAGTAAAGGATGGGTTACTTCGAGTGAGAAGTCAGTTTGGTGAAGGAAGAACAATTTTATGATGCAATCTTGTGTGGTAACAACTGGTGCCTTCAAGGATCTGCGAAAGAAAGACAGCTGTAGCACCAATCTACATGTTAGCTCTGGCATAGCTAATCTAAATGACAGCAGAGAAGAGGGGCAATTCTAAGATTCAACTCTCATCTATGAATTTTCGCTGTTTGTTTAAGAGCCTAGGCAGATCAAAGCAGATGAACACATACCATCTATGAAAGGGTCTTTAAGAGGTACCCACACAAGAACATTCCCAGCACAGCTGCAAACTTAAGGCTTGTGATAAGGGAGCCCATACTACAAAAAAGGGAGCAGAAGAGATCAAGTCACTGCCTGAGCCTTTGACAACGATGGAGTTACTATACTGAAGGCCCCCTGTGGAAACCAGCCAAAAGGACGGGCAAGGACAAAAATACTCACCATGGTCCCAGGCTACCCTGGGGTTAATTCCTTTCTGATTTTAAGTCTGGTGAGTGGCTTAACCCTGCATATCTGAAAGCTAGGCAGGCAGGGGGACTTAATGCTATTAGCCAGACCATCACCTCCCAGCTTTAGCTGTGGCCAGTCTCCAACACTTTGAAAGAAAGTTCTAAAAGCTAAAATCCCTAGATGCCAGTTTATATGTCAGGAGGCAAACAAATTCCTTCCCATTTTTGAATTTTATGAACAATTAACAAGCTCTGAATTACCTGAGGTACAAAGTGAATATAGTTACAGAACGAAAATGAAACTTTAGGTTTGCTGATTTACCTAACAGAATAATTGCAAACTCATCTGGCAATCATAGACAGAGAAATTCAAATCACCCTCAGCAAAATGTTACACAGAGACCTTGCAATCTTACAAGGACCAGCTTGCCTCTTTTCAATAGCCATACCAAATCAAATCTCAAGTTATTTTTGCTTGAATGTCCATAAACTAGCATCCAAAAAGTTTTATTTCTTTACATTCAGCAAAAGGTATTTTGATAACAGAAATTTTACATGCAGCCACAAGACCATCTGTTTACTTACACTGTAAAGATTACTCCTTGCTTCTGTGCAAGAGCCTGTTTGTAAAAAAAAAAAAGTAGAGGAGTTGAGGGACAGGTTCATTTCTAAGCTAATTTCTAAGTCCATTTCTATTTCAGGTCTTTATTACTGGTAAACAAAGCATTAGCTTTAAAACATCAAGAAAAAGCTCAGCTAAAAGCTTTGCCATACATTTATCTCAGCATGATTTCTGTTGGTCTGGGGCTTATTTTCAGTAGAAGCCTTTAGGCCAAACAACAGGTCTGAGAATATCTAAAAGTCAAAGAAAAATTTTTGCCTGATTCATTTGCATCCACAGAAAATAAGCATAATTCTACAAAAGCAGTACTATAAGGTGTGCGGCTTTCCCTGCCACTTCAGAGATTCCTGGACTCAAAGTTACAATCCAGTGTAGTCCATTTCTTTGTTAAATATTTCCTTAACACAAAATTAATGCCTTCTCCTTATCCACACCCTTCTTTGTACCCATTCTATTAACTGGACTTGCTGACAAACGAATTCACTCCGCAGTAAAATGACTCAGTTACTAATTTACAGCTCCTGATGAGCGACATTAAAACCCACAAGTAATAAACAAAGTATGAGAAATAACCACTGCTGTAAACAGTTACCACAAGACAGCAGCTAAGGGACAATAAAATACTAATGAACACTGCCTACCTGACTGTTTAAGGTCCATGAAACAATTAATACATAATTATGGAAGAGCAGGCAATGAAAAGTCTAACAATTATCTCACAGCTGAAACAATCCATAAACACTCACATTTTAAAGTATCCATCCATAGCTGGCAAGGCTTCTCTTTACACTTTCCTCCATTCTTTGATTTCCATATCCTTTGCTGAGTCTTCATGTAGGTAAGTACACTGAAATATAAATTCACCTACAATTATACTCCACCTGCAGAGACAACCCTGTAACCCACCTTTTTACACTGACCTCTCCCATTTTTGCCCATATATCTATGTAAGAAAAAACTCATAGCAAATACTAAATGTCTGTCTGTACAGGGAGAGACTAAACCTATACATCCAGTGATGCAGATACCCCAAAGCCACCTCAATAACCTTACAGGGTTACCTTCACTTAGGGAAACCTCTAGAAGGTCAGACCAGGAGACCACTCACCCTGAATGACATAGGAACAGACTGTTCTGTTGCAAACCACAAATGCTTTATTTTCCATCTAGAGCACCTATATAAGGCAAGAACTGCCTACACAAGCAGCACTGATTGCCTAGGCCCACTAAAATAACTACATTGCTACAACTCCAGCAGAGTGGAAAATGGCTGCTTTATAGTCTGGGAGCATCCGAATTATGGGGGCGGCAGCACTTAGCCAGGGAGGAGTCTCCCATTTCTATCAGAGGATGGTTTTTTATTGCTTCATTGAAGGCTGTTGCAGGACTGGT